TCCTCTTTGAACATAGCTTGCCATGCTTAAAATTCTTCCACATCGTTCATGAGGAGCAGATCACCAGACTTTCCTCCATTTGCATTCCGTCCTAGTCTTGTCAAAGCTGGATTACGTCGACCAAGTCTATTCTGCGGCTTCTCCTGCAACTCTTTCTAAGTTAGATCGCCTTCAACATGAGGGTCTACATTTATGTCTTGGTGTCTTTCGTTCATCCCCTGTTGAAAACCTCTATTCTGAGGCGAATGTTCCTTCCTTAACCAGTCGCTGTAATGCTCAATGCTTTCATTACTTTGACTGCTCCCATGACCTTCATGTTCCTTCTGCATATAGGTTGGTCTCAGACGTTAGTAGAAGGCCGTTATTTGATCGATGCTCCTGCTTACTCCATCCATTTCTCTCTTCGCCTTCACTCTGTTTTTCTCTCCAGTTGCCTCCCTTGCATGTTTATGTAGCGTCTGCCTTTTCCCTTCCCCTTTTGGAGGTTGTGACGGTTTGTATCTGTTCTCCCCTACTGCCGTGTGCTAAAGCTCTCCTACCTACGGCTGCTTTGCACTCTCTTTTTCTTGATCACTTCCGGTCACATGTTCGTGCCGTCGCTGTTTATACAGATGGTTCCAAATCTTCTGACGGTGTTTGGTTTGCGGTGGTGTTCCTAGACGATGTTGTCCGGGGTCATTTGTTAGACTTGGTTAGTATTTTTACTGCCGAGTTGTATGCCATCCTCATAGTGCTTCTCCGTATTACATGTATTTCTCCTTCGGCATTTGTGATCATTTCGGATTCCCTCAGCACTTTACAGGCCATTAAACAATTTGACTCCCTTCATCCATTGGTCCTCCATATCCAACTATGGTTGCACCGTGTAGCTAACAAAGACCTTTTCTGTTGGGTCAATGGACAGTTCATTCATGTAGGTTTGCCGGTACATCCGGCCCGGGTCTTCTCCAGATGGTGACTCGGCGGATGGACACGTTGATGTGCGGGACAATGAACAGGCAGACACGGCTGCGCGGTCAGCGATGCATGATCTTCCGGGTTTCCTATTGAGATATTCCATTCAGTGATCATTTTACCGTCCTCTTTGCCCGTCTTCGCGGGCATTGGCAATAACGGAGGGCAGACATGGACCATAACAAATTACACTCTATTAAACCGCTTTTGGGCTTGTGGCCATTTTCTTACTACCGTAGCCATACTCAGGAGACAGTGCTCTCCCGTCTCCACATTGACCATACTCGCCTTACCTATTGGTATCTCATGGAGTGACACCCTCTTCCTCTCTGTGACGTTTGTCAGTTCCCAATTTTCGTTCTTCACTTTTATGTGGATTGTCCGGTTCACCAGCGAGCTCGCAGTATTTACCTCCACCGACGCCGCCGCCCTGACGCTCTTATCTTTTCTTCCCTTCTTGCAGACGACCCTGTTCTTGACTTGCGATCACTTGACTTTTCGTCAGCAACTGCTTTACTATACGAATTTTGACCCATAGTCCCTTCTAGCCCTTTCTCCCCTCATCTCTGATCCCCTCTCCACCAAGCTGTTTATAGCCCTGGTACTATTTTCTGACCCTCAATGCTGCATGACCTTTGTTGGTTTAGCGCTTTATTTGATTATAATAATAATACAACACAACACTGAGAGATACATGACCTACAGCACAACACTGAGAGCTACAACACAACACATAGAGCTACAACACAACACTGAGAGCTACAACACAACACATAGAGCTATGTGAACTATAACACAATACAAGAAGCTACCAGAACTACACTAAAACAGAGAGCTACATGAACTACAGTGCAAATATCTACTTGAAGTTCAACACAATGCAAAAAACTACATGAACTACAACACGACAAAGAGAGCAACATGAACTACAACACAGAACAGAGAGCTACGTGAACTAAAAAAACTACAGAGAGCTACACGATCTACGACAAGATACAGAGAGTTACGTGCCCAGCAGCACAACACAAGGAGCAACATAAACTACAAAACAACACAGAGAGCTAAAAGAACTGCAATACAACATGGAGCTAAATGAACTACAACACAAAACAAGGAGCAACATGAACTTCAACAAAATACAGAGAGCTTCATGAAAGACAACACGACACAGGGAGGAACATGAACCACAACACGACGTTGTTTTGGTGCTCTCATTTATTTGTAAAGCCCTAGTGTGTGCCCTGTGTTTTGGAGATCATTAAATATTTTAACTGTTGGCTAAGTAGCCGGCAGGAACAATGGGGGGGGAGGGGGTCATAAAGCCTCCCTGTTTATAAAATACATAACATTTTGTGTCACTAGTAGCAGTGTGCTAGTGAGTTAATATAAACTGGAATGTGGTGGTTGTTGGGAGTAGTTTGTGAGTTGTATATAAGTTACAATTATTAATATAGATATATTTTTATATAGGTGAGTTTTTGTCCTTCCTTCCTAATAATAATTAATATTGTTTGCTGGCCCAAGAGTTGCTCTGTTTTTCAGTGTAATTTAAATGGCCCTAGACAGCAGTGTGAGCAGCCTTTAGGAGCCAGGACCATTGTATTTAAGTTACGACATCAAGGTTGTAACAACAACTCAGACAGCTTCGTGAACAATACAGAGAGCTACATGTACAATACAAGACAGAGTTGTATGAACTACAACACAACACACACAGAACAACATTTACTACAACACAACACTGACAACTACATATATTAAACACGACACAGATAGCAACATGTATTGCAACAACACTCAGAGAATTTCATTACCAACAACACAATACAGAGTGCTACATGAGCTACAACACAACACAGAGTGCTACATGAGCTACAACACAACACAGAGTGCTACATGAGCTACAACACAACACAGAGTGCTACATGAGCTACAACACAACACAGAGTGCTACATGAGCTACAACACAACACAGAGTGCTACATGAGCTACAACACAACACAGAGTGCTACATGAGCTACAACACAACACAGAGTGCTACATGAGCTACAACACAACACAGAGTGCTACATGAGCTACAACACAACACAGAGTGCTACATGAGCTACAACACAACACAGAGTGCTACATGAGCTACAACACAACACAGAGTGCTACATGAGCTACAACACAACACAGAGTGCTACATGAGCTACAACACAACACAGAGTGCTACATGAGCTACAACACAACACAGAGTGCTACATGAGCTACAACACAACACAGAGTGTACATGACTACAACACAACACACACACAGGCACTAAACTGAGCTACAACACAACACAGAGGCTACATGAGCTACAACACAACACAGAGTGACATGAGCTACAACACAACACAGAGTGCTACATGAGCTACAACACAACACAGAGTGCTACATGAGCTACAACACAACACAGAGTCTACATGAGCTACAACACAACACAGAGTAGCTACATGAGCTACAACAACACAGAGTAGCTACATGAACTACAGACAACACAACACAGAGTGTCATGAACTACAACACAACACAGAAGGTCTACATGACTACAACAACAGAGTGCTAATGATAGCTGAACTACAAACAGCACAAGAGCACTAAACAGTAAGCTACATACACAGAAGTGCTAACAAAAGAGCTTCTAATACACACACAGAGAGTGTACATGACACACAACACAGAGTTACATAGAACTACAACTCGACAAGTAGAGCTACGATAAACTTGATCAACTACAATGAGAGAGCTACATGAACTACAGTACAACACAACAGAGGCTTCATGAACTACACACACACAGAAGGTACATATGAACTACAGACAACACTGACATTTACATTAACTACAACACGACACAGAGGTACAAGAACTACATCGCTGAATTAAATGATATGCAACTCAACTCAGAGGTCTACATGAACTACAACACGACATTATAAACTACAACACAAAGAGCTACATGAACTTCAACACACCGCAGACAGCTACATGAACTACAGTACTACACAGGGTGTTACATGATCTACACAACACACAGGACTACACGGCAACTTACAACGTGAAGTACAACACAACAGGAAAAAGCTACATGAGAGCTACAACACAGCAAAGAGAGCTACATGAATTACGAGACAAAGGGAGCTATATGAACTACAGCACTACACGAGGAGCTAAATAAACTACAACACAATACAGAGAGCTAGGTGAACTACAACGCAACAGAGAAGGCTACACGAACTACAGTCCTGAGAGCTATATGAACTACAACACAACACAAAACTTCATGAACTAAAACACAACACAGAGAGCTACATGAACTGCAACACAACACTGAGAGCTACACGAACTGCAACACAGCACTGAAAGCTACATGAACTGCAACACAACACTGAGAGCTACATGAACTGCAACACACACTGAGAGCTACATGAACTGCAACACAACACTGAGAGCTACACGAACTGCAACACAGCACTGAAAGCTACATGAACTGCAACACAACACTGAGAGCTACATTAACTGCAACACAGCATAGACAGCTTCCTGAACTAGAGTACAGACAGCTACTTGAACTACAACGCAAAAGAGACGGCTTAATGTACTACTACACAACAAAGAGCTACAGGAACTACAACACAACACAACACACAGAGCTGAACGAACTACAACACGAATTGCAACATGAAATATAGAGTTACATGAACTGCACCACAACACAGTCCAGAGCTACATGAACTACAATACACGGTTTAATTACCTACACGACACAGAAAGCTCCATGAACTACCATATAACATAGAGCCATATTACTAAAATACTTCACATGATTTACAACATAACAGAGAAACCTACATGAACTACAACACAACAGAGAGAGCTGCATGGACTTCATCACAGAGTTACATGAACTACAACACTGAGGTACTTGAACTACAACATAACACATGGCGCTACATGAACTACAACACAGAGTTTCATGAATTACAAGACGTCAGAGTGAACTACAAGATAGCAGGTCTTACCCAGCCAATATTCTCCATGTGGGTCACCGAAGCCAGTCTTGTAGTCTTCCCAGCCCTTGCTGAAGCTCACTTGCGTAATCTGGCGATAGCGGGCGAGGAACACCGTCCACATGTTTTCCTCTTGCATCTTACAAAATACACTCACACCACCTGCAGAACTGACAGATACTCTTATTATAACTATACTGTGTATATGTGTGTTTTTAAGACACATCCAGGTATGATGCATGAGTCACCATACAAGAACAGCTGAGGGAGTGTAGTGTTTGATACTGTCACCTACACTGTCAAGTAACATCCAGGTATGATGCATGAGTCACCATACAAGAACAGCTGAGGCAGTGAAGTGTTTGATACTGTCACCTACACTGTCAAGTAACATCCAGGTATGATGCATGAGTCACCATACAAGAACAGCTGAGGCAGTGAAGTGTTTGATACTGTCACCTACACTGTCAAGTAACATCCAGGTATGATGCATGAGTCACCATACAAGAACAGCTGAGGCAGTGAAGTGTTTGATACTGTCACCTACACTGTCAAGTAACATCCAGGTATGATGCATGAGTCACCATACAAGAACAGCTGAGGCAGTGAAGTGTTTGATACTGTCACCTACACTGTCAAGTAACATCCAGGTATGATGCATGAGTCACCCTACAAGACACTGAGGGAGTGTAGTGTTTGATACTGTCACCTACACTGTCAAGTAACATCCAGGTATGAGGTATGAGTCACCATACAAGAACAGCTGAGGCAGTGAAGTGTTTGATACTGTCACCTACACTGTCAAGTAACATCCAGGTATGATGCATGAGTCACCATACAAGAACAGCTGAGGCAGTGAAGTGTTTGATACTGTCACCTACACTGTCAAGTAACATCCAGGTATGATGCATGAGTCACCATACAAGAACAGCTGAGGCAATGTAGTGTTTGATACTGTCACCTACACTGTCAATGGATAGTCTATAAATTATGTAGTAAAGATACACCGGTGTTTAAGATTTAAAGTCAATTAGATAATTCATTTTCAAATTTCTTCATGAAAATCAAAATTTGCGATCTTTCCACTGAAGACAACTCATCACTGCTGCTAGATAAATAAAAGTCTTAAAAAGACATAGCTTTACTGTCCAGGATCTAAAGATTGTAAGTTTATAACTGTCTTAGTAAACTGTGAAATATGAATTTACAAATGTTAAGCTGTTTGTGTGATCCATCAGTCGTTAATAAAGTCTGAAGTTGTTCAGAGGAAGAACATTCATGTTATCTCCAGAACTAATCAACACAATTTTAAAAATGAAAACAACAAATTAGCAACAATAGACGTCAATAACAATTCTAAGCTTCGTCAAAGTAAGATACACAAGAGTTGAAGGTTTGAAGACAATCAGAAGAGGCTTCTCATGCACATGACGAAGCTGCATCAACCATTTTCATTTTAATCTACACAAGTGATGAAAGTATTGAGACTGATTGGACAAGGTTTTCTCACATAATAAGAAAACCGGTTAAGGGAGCAAAAAAACTTTGCAACAATTAAAAGTTATCCCTTCCAGGATACTTAATAATATAATGAAGCATTCTGGTTAATACATGATGTGAAAAACAAATCCCTTTATACCATAACTCCACCCCACTCTACCACACTCCATCCCACTCTACCACACTCTACCACACTCTACCACACTCTACCACACTCTACCACACTCCACCCCACTCTACCACACTCCACCCCACTCTACCACACTCTACCACACTCTACCATACTCTACCACACTCTACCACACTCCACCCCACTCTACCACACTCCACCCCACTCTACCACACTCTACCACACTCTACCATACTCTACCACACTCTATCACACTCCACCCCACTCTACCACACTCCACCCACTCTACCACACTCTACCACACTCTACCATACTCTACCACACTCTCACACACTCCACCCCACTCTACCACACTCCACCCCACTCTACCACACTCTACCACACTCTACCATACTCCACCCCACTCTACACACTCACCCCACTGTACCACACTCCCCCCACTCTACCTCACTCCACCCCACTCTACTACCACACTCTACCACACTCTACCACACTCTACCACACTCTACCACTACTCTACCACACTCTACCACACTCCACCCCACTCTACCTCACTCCACCCCACTCTACCACACTCCACCCCACTGTACCACACTCCACCCCACTCTACCACACCCACACCCACTCTACCACACTCCACCCCACTCTACCACACTCCACCCACTCTACCAACACTCCACCCCACTCTACCACACTCTACCACACTCTACCATACTCTACCACACTCTATCACACTCCACCCCACTCTACCACACTCTACCACACTCTACCATACTCTACCACACTCTATCACACTCCACCCCACCTACCACACTCCACCCCACTCTAGCCACACTCTACCACACTCTACCATACTCTACCACACTCTACACACTCCACCCCACTCTACCACACTCCACCCCACTCTACCTCACTCCACCCCACTCTACCACACTCCTACCACACTCTACCAACTCTACCACACTTACCACACTCCACCCCACTCTACCACACTCACACCCCACTCTACCACACTCTACCACACTCTACCACACTCCACCCCATTCTACCACACTCCACCCCACTCTACCACACTCACCAAACTCTGCCACACTTTACCACACTCTACCACCTCCACCCCACTCTACCACACTCCACCCCACTCTACACACTCCACCCCACTTCCACCACACTCACCCCACTCTACACAACTCCACCCCACTCTACACACTCCCACCCCACTCTACCACACTCTGACCACACTCTACTACACTCCCACCCCACTCTACCACACTCCACCCCACTCTACCACACTCCACACCCAACTTAACCACACTCTACCACACTCTACCATACTCTACCACACTCTACCACACTTCACCACACTTCACCACACACTACCACACTCCACCCACTCCACCCCACTCCAACCCCACTCCACCACACTCCACCCCACTCCACCACACTCTGCCACACTTCACCACACTTCACCACACTCCACCACACTCCACCCCACTTTACACACTCCACCCCACTTTACCACACTCCACCCCACTCTACCACACTCCACCCACTCTACCACACTCCACCCCACTCTACAACACTCCACCCACTTCTACCACACTCCACCACCACTCTACAACACTCCACCCACTCCACACACTCTGCCACACTTCACCACACTTCACCACACTCCACCACACTCCATCCACTTTACCACACTCCACCCCACTTTACCACACTCCACCCCAACTCTACCACACTCCACCCACTCTAAACACTCCACCCCCACTTACCACACTCCATCCCACTCTACAACACTCCATACAACTCCACCCCACACAACTCAACTCTGGTCCACACTTCACCCACTTCACCCACTCCACCACACTCCACCCCACTCACACCACTACTCTGACACACTTCACCACACTTCACCACACTCCACCAATCTCCAGCCCACTTTACCACACTCCACCCCACTCTACCATACCCAACCCCACTCTACCACACTCTACCCCACTTTACCACACTCCACCCCACTCTACCACACTCCACCCACTCTACCACACTCTAACCCACTTTACCACACTCCACCACACTCCACCACACTCCACCCCACTTTACCACACTCCGCCCCACTTTACCACACTCCACCCCACTCTACCACACTCCACCCCACTCAACAACACTCCACCCCACTCTACCACACCACCGCATTCCACCACACTGCACTCTCTCAATACATGCACAAGTTTCTGTTGCTGTTCTGTTTCTACATAGAAGATTTTAAGTTAGTCAGAAGAGCTTTCATAATTAATGGAACCTGTGTTTTACCAATTTTTTCTAGCCTTCTTTGTCATCATATAAATCTTTAAATCATCCTTAAAATTTGGGTAAGCAAAGGTTAGTAAGCAACCACTACTTTCTGGCAACTTTCTACTTGTATCTTAGATATCCAAGTGAGCAGCAGCTAATTGATGAATAAATATCTTAGGTATCCAAGTGAGCAGCAGCTAATTGATGAGTAAATATCTTAGGTATCCCAGTGAGCAGCAGCTAATTGATGAGTAAATATCTTAGGTATCCCAGTGAGCAGCAGCTAATTGATGAGTAAATATCTTGGATATCCAAGTGAGCAGCAGCTAATTGATGAGTAAATATCTTGGATATCCAAGTGAGCAGAAGCTAATTGATGAGTAAATATCTTGGATATCCAAGTGAGCATCAGCTAATTGATGTGTAAATCTCTTAGATATCCAAGTGAGCATCAGCTAATTGATGAGTAAATATCTTGGATATCCAAGTGAGCAGCAGCTGCTTGATGAGTAAATATCTCAGATATCCAAGTGAGCAGAAGCTAATTGATAAGTAAACATCAGCGCCTCTGGTTAACACTGGTCGTATTTTGCACCGGCTTTGAAGCCGCTTTTATAGGGAGTGTTTTCTGTGAGCTCATTTAGGACTAATACTACTAGATATTTCCAGTTGTAAATATTGATACATTTTTCTCGTTTACATTCCAAGTTCAGTTCAGGGGACTTTTAAGGACGGGTGGGAAATATTAGATGAAACATGTGCATCCAAAATTCGTGTCAGACGTATTCTAACGGTTGGGATTGTCGGAAGTGCCACTCGTAGTGCCATTTTGTCATTCTTGCTGCCATATATGAAAAGTCATTAAATATTTTTTTTCTCTGTTGTTTGTTGGCCAATCATACTAAAACTTTGTCACATTCTTCTACATATGAACCTCTAAACGTACACCAAAAATTAAAAAAAATTGGTTGAAAAATAAAAAAGTTGACCGAAATTTTGACATCCAACCTTAAATTCGCAATAGTTTAAGTGATTGACAGAATTAATAGGTACAGTAAATATTCTTTGTTCATTCTCAATATTTGTATTTTTTATTGTTTTAAAAGTAGTCGTTAGTGTAGAGTAATATTGCAGTCTAGAGAGAGAACTTGTGAATTAAGGAGAATCATCACTGGCTAGGCATCTTTTGTAAGGAAGGATCTAGCTATCCAGTCTATTATTCTCCCTGTGGTGGCGCAGCAC